AAGACCACAACGTGATATGCCAATTGCTATTTACCCTTCATAAGGACCCTTTTCATCGAATCCGTTCCGACTGAAGTGGGAGGGACTGGCACCCGCTAGCCACCTTATGTACCAAGTGCATGTCAATCGGTGGAACCTGTCTCACGTAAGAGTACGTGTAAGGTCGGTCCGGGCTGCTTCATCCCACAATACCGTCGAAACAAGATTGGACTAGTAACGGTAAGCATATTGAACAACATCAACGCCCACAACTACTTTGTGTTCTACTCGTGCAAAGAATCTACGCAATAGACCTAGCTCTGATACCACTGTTGGGGAACGTAGCAGAAATTCAAAATTTTCCTACGTGTCACCAAGATCTATCTATGGAGAGACCAGCAACGAGTAGAAAGAGAGTGCATCTACATACCCTTGGAGATCGCTAAGCGGAAGCGTTCAAGTGAACGGGGTTGATGGAGTCGTACTCATCGTGATTCAAATCACCGATGATCCTAGTGCCGAACGGACGGCACCTCCGCGTTCAACACACGTACAGCCCGGTGGCGTCTCCCACGCCTTGATCTAGCAAGGAGAGAGGGAGAGGTTGAGGAAGACTCCATCCAACAGCAGCACAACGGCGTGGTGGTGGTGGAGGAGCGTGGCAATCCAGCAGGGCTTCGCCAAGCACCATGGGAGAGGAGGAGTAGGAAGAGAGGTAGGGCTGTGCCAGAACTTCGTGTATAGCTCCCATGCGCCTCCCCACTATATATAGGGGTGGAGGGGCTGGTTTCTTGCCCTCCAAGTCCATTGGGGCGTTGGCCAAGGTGGGAGGAAAGAAATCTCATTATTTCCTTCCCCACCGATTGTTATCCCCCCTTTTTAGGGATCTTGATCTTATCCCTTCGGGATATGATCTTATTCCTTCTAAGGGGGGATCTTGGTGCGCCTTGACCAGGGGTGTGGGGCCTTGCCCCCACCACCCACGTCCATGTGGGTCCCCCCATGCAGGTGGGCCCCACTCCAGAACCTTCTAGAACCTTCCCGGTACAATACCGAAAAATCCCGAACATTTTCCGGTGGCCAAAATAGGACTTCCCATATATAAATCTTTACCTCCGGACCATTCCGGAACTCCTCGTGACGTCCGGGATCTCATCCGGGACTCCGAACAACATTCGGTAACCACATACAAACTTCCTTTACAACCCTAGCGTCATCGAACCTTAAGTGTGTAGACCCTACGGGTTCGGGAGACATGTAGACATGACCGAGACGTTCTCCGGTCAATAACCAACAGCGGGATCTGGATACCCATGATGGCTCCCACATGTTCCACGATGATCTCATCGGATGAACCACGATGTCAAGGACTTAATCAATCCCGTATTCAATTCCCTTTGTCTATCGGTATGTTACTTGCCCGAGATTCGATCGTCGGTATCCAATACCTTGTTCAATCTCGTTACCGGCAAGTCACTTTACTCTTTCCGTGACACATCATCCCGTGATCAACTCCTTGGTCACATTGCGCATATGATGATGTCCTACCGAGTGGGCCCAGAGATACCTCTCCGTTTACACGGAGTGACAAATCCCAGTCTCGATCCGCATAAAACAATAGATACTTTCGGAGATACCTGTAGTGCACCTTTATAGTCACCCAGTTACGTTGTGACGTTTGATACACCCAAAGCACTCCTACGGTATCCAGGAGTTACACGCTCTCATGGTCGAAGGAAGAGATACTTGACATTGGCAAAGCTCTAGCAAATGAACTACACGATCTTTTGTGCTAGTCTTAGGATTGGGTCTTGTCCATCACATCATTCTCCTAATGATGTGATCCCGTTATCAACGACATCCAATGTCCATAGCCAGGAAACCATGACTATCTGTTGATCACAACGAGCTAGTCAACTAGAGGCTCACTAGGGACATATTGTGGTCTATGTATTCACACGTGTATTACGATTTCCGGATAATACAGTTATAGCATGAATAAAAGACAATTATCATGAACAAGGAAATATAATAATATTACTTTTATTATTGCCTCTAGGGCATATTTCCAACAGTTTGGTCACTTGTGAGTAGCAGTTGGCATACTTGTTCACTTCCCCTTGGATGATCCCCCAACGATGTTGGGGAGATGCCACATTACGAGTGGTCATGATAGGATGCGGCTCCACAAACTCATTTTGTCCGTGATACTCCTTCCAAATTTTCTCCAGATACTTGTTCCCCATTTGCTCGGTGCCGCATATTGGATCCGCCATTGTGGACAACCAAGCTTTGACCAACAAGACGTCCTCAAATCTTCAGAATGCCGGACCTCTTGCCTTCGATGTATTCTTCTTCTTCTTCTTCTTCTTCTTCTTCTTCTTCTTCTTCTTCTTCTTCTTCTTCTTCTTCTTCTTCTTCTTCTTCTTCTTCTTCTTCTTCTTCTTCTTCTTGCTCTGATTGGGATCGGATGTTGTCCCAACTTCAAATGCGGTGGTGGCATCCATTTCATACTCCATTTCGGTATGATATTCATTGTCATTGATCATGTTTGACAAGAACACCTCCTATGTGATTCTAGTTTGCAAGCATTCATCATTTGCGAAATGAAATAGTGGTCTATGCAAAAAACTGATCAGACATGAGCAAAGAAAATGCACCGATTCTTGTTCGCTCATTCCATCGAACATGTCGAGGGCAGCCCATGCACTGCCGGTGCCTGTGCTCATCGAGCTGCGGCGAGTCACGTATGTCGACCACCGGCATCTGCGTGGGCGAAAAGCTGTTCGGAATGGCCCATTCGGCTGTCGAATCCTCCTCTATCCCAGCGGGGTCGAAAGGCGTAATCCGTGTCGGCGCTTGCATGGAAGGGGTGTGGGGATTCGGGCACGGCGCAGGAGACAACTGCTCCACCATGTCCGGACCTCCTCGCGTGCCACCGCCATCACCGTCTCCCTCTCTCGTTGCCGGTGTCACCGCAATTTCCAAGCGACGTTCTCCGCCTTGCAAGTCACAGCCGACGAAGGGACCCCGCCAACGGATGAGGCGGACTACGTCTCCATCGTGCCGGCGTGTGTCAGGCTGGACTACATCTCCGGCGGTGGATCGGGACCGGTGGTGGGGATTGGGAGCAAGGGTGGGGGATGGAGAGGGTCTGGTCGCGAGTAAGGTTGGAGGACGGTGGGAGGAGGAAGGGTTTGGTGGATTTGGTACAATTTGCGGTAGGGTCGGGCTGTCGGGTCTGACGTGGTGGGCGTGCGTGTGCACCCCCATAGACACCCCATATTTTGGGCTGGATATGAGGGGTGCCAGTCCGCCCGGGCATTTGAGGCCTGTTTAAGGAGCCCGTCTGGGTCAAAAAATTGTGACCAGACAGTTATCTGACGGCCCGCCCAGGTGTATGAGGCGGGTTTGAGGCGCCTGGCTATAGATGCTCTAATGATTTACTTATCAAAGACGTAATGTCTATATGCGATTATCATGGATGATTATAATCCTAAATATTGCAATTTTTTCAATTGCCAAACTATAATTTTTTTTACATGCTACTTGTTGTTTTCGCAAGAGATGTCACTAGTGAACCTATGGCCCACGGGTCTATTCTCCATTGCTTTCTTCCACATAATTGCCACTATTTCCCCGTTTTACTTTTCGCTACTATCTTCATCATTTGTGTTTTACCTTGTAAATAGCAAGACACCGGGATTAACAACCCTCTTAGCCGTCTTGGGGACAATTTTTGTTTGTGTTTTGTGTGCAGGTGCCGTTGACACGTGTAGCTTAGAAGATCTTACTGGTTCAATAAATCATGATTCTTAACCGAGAAAAAACTTGTTACTTGATGCTTCAACCTTCCTCTTGGGGAAATCCCAACGAATCGGGAGTAGCACCTCCGTCGTCCCATGCAACCGTGGTGATGTCCAGATCGGGCGTCGCATCAAGGAGGAGTCGGCGTTCCCTCCCCCTGGGCAAACCGCAATAGCGTTCCAACCGGGTGCCGAATGTAGGAGGAGTCGGTGTCGTTGCCGGCGCAGAGGTGCTACGCCCATGTTGACAGGTCTGCCTCGCTGCAACCACCACTACCTGTTCGTCAAACTGCCGCCCTCGATCGCCAAGGCGCGAGGCCGCATCGGTAGCGATGGCGGTCGAGGGCTGTTGTGTTCGAGGAGGAGCAGACGATGAGGCTATAGGCGCGCTGCGAGCGGCGCAATGCCGTCCATCGCTACTTATTTGCCAAGTCGGACGCGACGTCGAAATGAGTACGCAACGACCCCAACCTCGCCGCTGCCTGGATCCTCGACTGCTTGGTCACCACCGCAGAGACGGCCGCCAAGCGTCGCTGCTGCCTTGATGGCAAGCTCGTCAAGATCGACGATGAGTGGTCGCTTAATGACTCATCTGCCAACGTCGACAAGGGTAAGGACGTCGCCAGGGCACCGTCGGCATTGGCCGCGGCGGCCCTATGCACCATGCAGGGGAAGCGGGGCGGATCCTCTAGAAGCGGCAGACAACGTTTGGACAAGACTGTCGCGGTGCATCGCCGCTGCAGGAGGGATGATGGCGATGGCGGTGCATCAAGGCAGAGTGGCCGCGCGTATGAGGTGGTCGTCTGGTACAAGCTATAAGTATTCTTTTTAATTTTCAATAAAACAGCTGAAATATCGACCGTTTATGTAAATTATGACTGAATTTAAATGAACCCGTCATGTTTGATGAAGTTTAACCGGTTAGTTTAAATCCTGTTTGAAATGCATGCAAATAATTTTAGATGGTTAGCTCATATGTGGACTGGTCTTCTTTGACCCCAAGACAGATATGATGTCAGATTTGCGGGTCGGCTTGGAGATGCCCTCGTGTGGATCCAAATAACCGATGGGACGTCCTGCATGTGGGACGCGTGTGTCGGTGGCAGGAATTAAACGTACGGACGAGGTCACTCGGACGTGCCGTGTGTAATCTTCAAATAAGAGAGAAAGTGACACCACACAATCAGACACACATACAGAGAGAGAGAGAGAGAGATGGCAGCCGCTGGAGTTAGCAGGGAGCAGAGGTGGAGCCTCGCCGGCGCAACCGCGCTGGTCACCGGCGGCAGCAGAGGAATTGGGTACGTACGTAACGTACATATACATGTTGCATGCAGGAGCAAATTGCGTACGCTGCGTGCTGCTAACTGGCATCAGAGGACAGGCATGCAATCGTGGAGGAGCTTGTCGGGCTCGGGGCGCGGGTGCACACGTGCTCCGAGAACGCGGCGGAGTTGGAGGAGTGCCGTCGGCGGTGGGAGGAGACGAAGCTGCCGGTCACCGTCTCCGTCTGCGACGTCTCCGTGCGAGCCGAGAGGGAGAAGCTCATGGAGACGGCGAAGCAAACCTTCGACGGCAAGCTCGACATACTAGTAAGATTAGTCCGTTCGATCAAGTCAATTCACGTAATCCGTTACCCTTTTCTCAGTAATCTACTATTAAGGTAGGTTAATTTTCAGCTCGGATTATTTTGCACCAACTCTACGCATGCAGGTAAACAACGTGGGGCGGAATGTGGCCAAGGCGGCCGTGGAGTGGACGGCGGAGGAGTACTCGCATCTCATGTCGACTAACTTGGAGGCGGCGTTCCACCTAAGCCAGCTCGCACACCCCTTCCTCCGAGACGCCTCCATCGCCGGAGGAGGCAGCGTCGTTAACATCTCCTCGGTTGCGAGCTCACTCGGCTACCCGACCCTCGCACTATATTGCATATCTAAAGGTATGCGAACCAAGGTTCTTGATTTTTACTCCTATATGTTTACCGTACACGCAAGTTCTTACTTGATGCAGCCACATACCAACCTTTTTTTACGGGAAAAAAAGGTGAACCTGGTCTGTGCATCGTTGTGACGCACACGGCTATTTTTATTAGCAAATCAGTGACACTTAATTTGGAAATTGGGATGGAGAGAGTAGTATCAAAGCTATTTTTATTAGCAAATCAGCGACACTTCATTTAGGAATTGGGAGGGAGAGCGAGTAGTATCAAAGCTATTTTTATTAGCAAACCAGCGACACTTAATTTAGGAATTGGGAGGGAGAGTAGTATCAAAGCTATTTTTATTAGCAAATCAGCGACACTTAATTTGGGAATTGGGATGGAGAGAGTAGTATCAAAGTATCTCGTGATGTAGCACTTAAAATCAATACTTACATAAGTGACGCACTACGATATTGATAGCTAGTAAGAGGGTGCTTGGATACGTTTTAGTCCCATGACTAAAAGTAGTGGGACTAAAACTTGCTAGGCTCATTCATGCTTGGATCCGAATACTAAAAAGACTAAAATCAAATTATTGAGCATTTATTATCCTCCAAACCCTCAAATCCAGAACTCGCATATGTTAAAGGAAAGGAATTAAATGAGTAGAGAGAGGGCTAATACATATTTTAGTAGGTTTCATATGACTAAATTTTTTTAGCCTCAAGACTAGTTCTAGCCTCTCTTTAGTCAGGGGTACTTGGAACTTTAGCCTCTGACTAAAAATAGTCCCTTGAATCCAAGCACCCTCTAAATCTCTAAAGTCGAACTAAGGTGCAAAAATTACTTCCATTGATGTTATTAATATCTTATGTCAAACATGCAGGAGGAGTTAATCAGCTTACAAGGAGCCTTGCTGCCGAGTGGGCTCAAGATAAGATCCGTGTCAACTCCGTCGCTCCGGGTGGGATCAATACCGAGCTGCAAAACAGTGTACGCACCGACCCCACATGAAAAACATAAAAGGAATTTATGAAACGCACAAGCCTAAATATTTTACGTAATTAATTTGAACAAAAGTTGTTATAATGG